AAAAGCCACTCCCATCCGGTCACATGGGTGGCAAGCCACTCCCACAAAGGAGGCCACACCCACAGAGTAGGTTCGAACAATTTTTGAAACCCACCACTGGTCCTTGGATATGATTGTTCTACACTATCATGCTCATATTTATAAAAGCCACTCCCATCCGGTCACATGGGTGGCAAGCCACTCCCACAAAGGAGGCCACACCCACAGAGTAGGTTCGAACAATTTTTGAAACCCACCACTGGTTCAGTTCTAAGTGGGAGGGAGAAGACACTGGAAACATGGAGGCTGTCAGGCCTGCAGCCATCTTTTCTTTTGGATCTCTGGCCTGCCACGTTTCCTCTTATTCTACTATGCATTTTCTATTGTGGGAAGATGGGAGGAGGGATTGTACTGGGTTAGATGCTATGTAGCCATAACAACATTCTTTTAGAAACTCAAGGTCATCCTTTGTCTCTGCACCTGGGCGGAACTGGATGGGTGGAACTGCCAGCAGGGCAGTGGAAGATTGGACCATGTGATGGACTTGTGAGTGTGGAGGCAAGATCTTGAACTTTCAAGTAGGTGGGGAAAACCGGGAAGCTTTCAGATTTGGGTTTTCCCAGATATGCCAGCAAGGCTCTCTTCATAAATTGGAACTTTGAGGAATCCTTTGCCTTGGATTCTGATTTAATTTTTGGATGCTATTTGGAACCCTGACGGAGGCTGCTTGGAAAGATGGTTTAATGGTAGACGGAACCGCATGGTTTGAGGTCCTGAGGAAAAAGGTGATCACATGCTTCCAGATGTTGGGTGAACAAGAAAAAAGGCAGAGATGCTGAAAGTTCCTGATTTTATGCCCTTCTGGCCTTTGATCTTGAGCTTGTATTTTGATTGGTTGTCAGACTCCCATGGGGCCACGCAGGGGCAACTCTCTAGGCTGTGTTTTGAGTCCACGTTTGGTTGAGCATCGCTTCCTCCCAGGTGCCCTGTGGCGAGATGGGTAGAAGGCTAATCCTACCTTTGTTATGTAGAATAGACTGGCCCCGGCCCCTAATGGCCCATTGACAAAGGTCGAGGCAGCTATAAAGAGTGAGTCTGTTTCCTGCCTAAAAATAATGCCTCTCCATTTCTTATCCAGGGAAATAGAATATTCTGCCTTTTCAATATTTCCCAGGATATTTCATTTTTCTAGGAGAGGGGTGGGTTTTAACTTCCTACAGTATTATCTATTGAACTCCATCCATCCTGGTCTTTTGCGCAGTCGCATCTCCCCCGCGAGTCCAACCTTGGAGGGTGGGAATTTGCAAAGTGATCAGTGGAGCAAACAGCATTTTACGATTTCCAGCAAGGCACCATTGAGCCACAGCTAGATTTCCCACGGGTACACAAACAAACCCGAATAAAACCTGCGGGCCATAAATTTTATGGGGAGCGTCCGCAGCCTTCCCTCAAGGCAGCAGATTCCAGGAAGCAGATCCATTTCCTCATTCGATGAGCTCATCGTGCAAATGTCACAGATCCCCTCAGCCAGGGCTCTGCCGTTGAAAGGATATTCAGTTAAGAGCTTCACTCGCTCCTCCGCGGTTTAACCTGGTAAAATAGGGATCTCCAACCTTGGCAGCTTTAAATCTGGAGGCCTTCAACTGCCAGAATTTTTGCTGGCTGGGGAATTCTGGCAGTTGAAGTCCACCAGGCTTAAAGTTGTCTGTCTGGATTCCAAGTAACACCCCCAACGACAGAAGACTCCGAAGCTTGAAGTTCCTCAACGCTAAGGTAAAGGTTCTCCATATGTGCCAGTTGTTCCTGACTCTAGGTGGCGGTGCTCATCTCCATTTCAAAGCCAAAGAGCCAGTGTTGTCCAAAACGTCTCCATGGTCATGTGGCCGGCATGACTAAATGCCGAAGGTGCACGGGATGCTGTTACCTTCCCACCAAAGGTGGTACCTATTTTTCTACTTACATTTTTATGTGCTTTCGAACTGCTAGGTTGGCAGAAGAACTGGGACAGGTAATGGGAGCTCACTCCATTACACAGCACTAAGGATTCGAATTGCCGAACTGCCGACCTTTCTGATTGACAAGTTCAGCGTTTTAGCAACTGAGCCACCTATTAGAGATGTCATATTGGCGCATGTGGGACATCCCGAATCTGAAAGTTTCCAGGTTTTCCCCACCCAAATAAAAGTTCAAATCCCTGCCCAGCGCCCACATATCCATCACACAGTCCAATCAAGATGGCCTTGACTCTCTGAGAAAGGAATGTTATTTTGACTGTGACCCGACAAAACAGCGATCGTCAAAATAGCGCTGACAAAATAGCGCCGACCACAACGCGACGTCGTAAGCGTGCCCACAACTTCGCGTCGATATAAGAAAACCCCTCGGTTTTGTTGACTATGTCAAGCTGCGGTATATTGAAGCTTTT